GTCAAAAATGTATTTATAAATGAAAATGAGGTAAATTAATAAAACAAACATCCCACCTCAGTCATCAAGCTTTGTATTTTGCTTTACCCATGAGTCTCTTAATAGAGAGAGCAGTTGAAGTCAGAACAGAAGTGAAGTAGCGGTAGATAAATTATTTGATGGTCTATATAAACAATAAAAGTTAATCTATATAAACTCTAAGTCAAGCTATTAACCAGCAGTCTTGCATCCCACCTACCTGTGTAAAAATTCTCTTTTTCAAGGAGTGGAGCAATTTTAGTAATAGCACGTAGTTCCACTAAGTATGTAAAATATAGATTTCTCAACCACTGTGGTCCTTCTCCATTGGTGCTTTTAGGGTCAAACCGGGACTGAAATTCGTTGATATTAATACCCCATTTTGTACCACCCCATGCATCTGCAAGTAACAGAAAACATGAACATGAAAACATACAAACATCCATGGATCATACATTTTTACAGTTAAGTTATCTGTACTCCTCACTTTGAGAATCAAAATAACTAGACCTAGTCTGGCAAAGATGCTACTGACAAATCATACACTCTCATTATACATGTACATGTAGTATTGTATTATTAGTTTTGGAAGTATAACCACGATAATACATCATTATACAGCAGAACATTTTTTTTTACAGAAATGGAGCCAATGGTTTCAACACTGTATTCAACACGCTGAGTCGGGCCAGGAGCGAACGATGTGTATGGATTTGCATATTACCTGGTATTAAGTATTTAGCTGCTAGATGAATATTAATGCTTGCATGTAATCCAGATATCATTCGATAAAACACCCTCTTCTCTAAACACATACCTAACAATATAAAAGGTTGGTATATAAGATACATATACAATCCATGAAACAAACAGAAGTCTCTTTCAGTCATTTCAGTGCTGTTGTAAATGAACACAGAACAAGCAGTTGATTGTGACTATGTCTATACATTAAAATAAACTTTTTACTCAAAATCAAGAATTTTGTATCTCTAGAAAGACCATATTTTATAATTTTTAATGTATTTTTGTTATAATTGATAGATAATTAATTATTATAGTAAATGCTTTATCAGATCCAATGGTGTTTACTGTATTGAAAATGCATGTGAACTAATAAGTACATCAAACTAAAACACTGACTTATTAATGCAGATTTTTCAACTACATGTACAAATAATTCAAATTACCCATGGATGTGGTTTTATGGTTGATTTATAAAAAAAAAATTTATAAATTCAAAATCATTTGACCAGTCACAATGTGTTTTTGACATCACTAATATGGGCTACCTTGTTGATGTTGTACTTTTAAAACACCCATTTCATTACGAGACAAATTGATTAGATGTAATATAGCATCCAATAACTAATTACTCAATTAAATTTGGATCAGAATATGAAGTTATTACGAGAATACCTCAAAGTACGCATGAAGACAGTACAGCCAGAGTATCGATCGATGAGCAGCAGAGGACGATGTGCGTCGTAGTGTCTGAGTGCATACTTTGAGGTATTCACGTAATAACCTTATTATTATACATCTTTTCCCTCCAAGGATACACCATGGAAATGTTGAAATTCAAAATGTTTAGAACAGTACGGTATCAGCAAACTTCTTTGTGTGGAGTCCGGTCAAACCCTGGTGGCAGCCATGTTTGTTTTTATTATTAGAGGACACTTACACGCATAATTCTTTCCATATTTGGAATTTGTATTTCCCAATATGGTAGGATGAAAATACCCTGTAAAATACCGCAAAATTATGGCACACTGTAACTTATGGCATTACGGTGACAGATGTATAATAATAATAGTTATAAAAATGTACCATGGGTAATCTGAATCTGGTTGTAATGCATGCAGAGAATTTACAGCAAAAAAAACACCAAAAACGTGTCAGGTTACAAATCGCTGTAACAAATGGAAAATAATAATAAAGGAAGCATTCATGACAATTATTTTCCCTTATTAGTGTTGAACCATCTAGCAATAAAATAATACAACATACATGCAAGTACATTCACTTGTATATAGATTCAATTAACAACAGTTTGAATATGTTTGATACAACCAGCAATCCATTATGTAACTTTGATACTGCAGTGATATTACTCAAATTATACAAACAAAGTGTAGTAACTAGGGTTTACGCCATTACACAATATGAGAAATGTTTCCTGGAAGGGTATGACATACACCATTTCTAGAAGTTGTACACTGGTTACAGATAACGTCTGTTACATCAAAATGTATTTGAGTAAATTAGAGAAGTGTTTCCCTGGTCAAAAATAAGTTATTGTAATATTTTAACTACAGATCAAAATGATATAGACACTTTGCTTCACATCTAAGTAGCACTTTTTCTCTAGAGGGCGCAATTTACAGCAAAGGTGTATTAATTCCCATGAGCACTTTCAAGTTACATCATGGTTGCTTGATTGATAGAACACAATGCAATGCAGATAGAGGTCAAAGGTCATAAACATAATGCATGTAACACTGAGCTGGTGGTTATTTAGTTACCTGTCAGGTAATCAGAGCCTGGAGGGGTTGAAGCAGGTCAAAGGTTAATTAGCAAAGATGATAATGAGCGGGTAGGTGTATCATTAGTGGTGATAATTAGCAGTATAAGCTAGCTTACTAAGCTAAGCATGTAAGTACATATACACTACTTTTACTTGAGAACTCTACGAAAACAAATGGACAACTACAGAATATGCACACTGGACAAAACAATCGATTGTTTT